GCGCCACTACCAAGAAGGCCCTCTGCCTGGTTCCCTGTAGCTTTGCTTCTCACAGTGAGGGAACCACCAGAAGGCCCTCGGCACTGGACCTCAGCAACTGGGCAGAATGATGCGGGTGGAGACACTCCTTCAGATATACAGGTAACATACATTTTTAGGACCCACCTTATTTCTGTGACCGGGGGTTGTTTCAAACTATATAGTGGTACCTCAGGTTAAGTACTTAATTCGTTCCGGAGGCCCGTTCTTAACCTGAAACTGTTCTTAACCTAAAGCACCACTTTAGCTAATGGGGCCTCCCACTGCTACTGTGCTGCTGCCGCTCGATTTCTGTTCTCATCCTGAAGCAAAGTTCTTAACCTGAGGTACTATTTCTGGGTTAGCGGAGTCTGTAACCTGAAGTGTCTGTAACCCGAGGTACCACTGTATACCCAAATGAATGTCTCCAACCCCATCTTTCAGCCTGGACACTGAGGTCCACCTCCAAGGGTCATCTGGAGGTTCCCTCACTGCACAAAGTGAACCAGGCAGAGGGCCTTCTCGGTGGAGGCGCCCTCCCGGTGGAACTCCTTCCCATCAGATGTCAAGGAGCTAAAGAACTACACAACTTTTGAAAGACATCTGAATGCAATCATGTATCAGGAAGTTTTTAATGTTTGATGTTTTATTATGTTTCTGTATGTGCTGGAAGCTGCCCAGAGTGGTTGTTGAAGCCCAGACAGATGGGTGGGGGGGAATAATAATAATAATAATAATAATAATAATAATAATAATAATGATGATGATGATGATGTTATGTTTTAATTGGGACCTTAGGGTGAAGGACAGATAATCAACAACAACAACAGTTAAATTACTCTTATATGACCCACAAAGAATCTTGGGAACTGTAGCTTGTTAAGGGTGCTGGCAATTGTAGCTCTTTGAGGGAATCTCCTAACAGCTCGCAGTACATTTAACAAACTACAGCTCTCAGGATTTGTTGAGGGGAGCCATGATTATTAAAGTAGTATCCGAAGGCTTTTCATATGTGGCATTTGTAAACATTGTTTGGGTGGAGAATTGGCGTGACAAAATTTAGAGAAGTGTGAATTTCAAAGGAGAGCTCTGATTCATTTTGCATATTGCTTCCATGAAGCGCAAATTTGATAGACTTGGCTTTAAAAGTCTATTGACTTGAATTCCTTCCCCATCACCTAGCTAGCAATCCTTTTAGGATTGCACTTCAGGCAAAACTTCAAGCACAGTCCTACATAGTGCAAACCTAGCAGATGGAAAGCCTCTTTGAGCACATTGCTTAGAATGGGCCCTGTGTTTCTGCAAGCACTTGGAACTGATGCTATCTTTCTCAAATTGAACAGAGTGCCTGGGCCAATGGCAGCTCTTTTGTCACTTCTTCCCACCCACCTCCTTCCTTGTGTCAACCCTCCATCCCTATGCAAAGCCATTTAACTCTCACTTGAGATTCCTAGAGATAAGGACCAAAGAAGATCCCTGCTGGAACAGGACCAAAAGGGTTTTGCCCACCTTGTTGCATGGTGAGTTCCCGCCTCCCACCAGTAGAAATAAAGACACGTGACACCATTATTTAGGTTAATGCGCTAAAATTGGCCACAACTTTATTGGTTACAGGTAAAGAGCGGTACTGGCTTAGGCACTGGGCCTATCCGACTATCCGGCTTCAGCCTGTTTGCTTGAAGACCGGGAAGGGTTAACACCAGCAGGGGGAAACCTGCTGATGCACATCAACTAGGAACTCCCCTGGGGTCACCGCTAGGGGGGGCGCATTAGTTTGCTACGAGGCAGGCGAAAAACCCAATGGCCAGTGCCACCCCCATCGTTCTACCCGGACACTGAGGTCCAGCACCGAGGGCCTTCTGGCGGTTCCCTCACTGCGAGAAGCCAAGTTACAGGTAGTGGCACCTTCCCTGTGGAACACCCTCGCACCAGATGTCAAAGAGAACAACAACTACCAGGCTTTTAGAAGACATCTGAAGGCAGCCCTGTTTCGGGAAGCTTTTAATGTTTGATGTATTATAGTATTTTAATATTCTTTTGGAAGCTGCCCAGAGTGGCTGGGGAAGCCCAGCCAGATGGGCGGGGTATAAATAATAAATTATTATTATTATTATTATTATTATTAATTGCCAAGTGGAAAAAATTCCTACCAGGCCCCTTAATGGCGACCAACCGAGGTCCATAGCACGGTCAAAAGGGGAACCTTAAAGGGTGGGTGGGTGGGAAACCTCAGCAGCTGAGCAGCCAAAAGAAGGAGATCCCGGGACCGCACTTGCCTTAAGTGAGGCAAGCCACAACCCCCCAACAATTGGCTGGCTCAGGGGATGACGCAGCCCCGAGGATTCCCCTGATCGCGCGGGGGCTGGAAGCCAGCCTCTGCGCGTGTGTTGGGGGCGTGAAGCCCACGACACCACCTCCTCCCGAGGTCGGAAGTGGCTTTTCCTGCAGAGGAAAGACAGATTCTTCTGGAAAGCCCTGAAACAGGTTTTGAAAATTAGTACCTTTCCCTGCACTGCAGTCCTTCAGCAACTGCAGCTTTCCCCTTGACCATCATGACCGATAGTCATAGACTCATAGAATTATAGAGTTCAAAGGGATTCCAAGGGACACCTAATCCAAGCTCATGAAATTCAGGAATCATAACTAGACATTGAAACACAGTGCCATACCATGAAGTTAGCTTATCCCTCTTAAGCCAACTAAACTAGTAGCTCTTACCGTACCATGTGAATTCTAGCAAAATGTGGTCCAGAATTTTAGGCAAGGGACTGTCTTAGTCCTACCTGAAGGTTCTGGGGACTGAACCCTGAGACCTTCTGTATGCAAACTGTAGATGTTCTGTCACATCCTTCCACCATCCTCTGTTCATTTAACACCCACTGTATCTTCTGTTGTCAAGATCTGCTGCTGATCAGTTTCACTGAGTGACTCCCCCCATGAAATGAAATCTTCCAGGAAGTAAGCCTAATTGTGTCCTGATGAAAATGTGTATAGGATTTCAGCCTTGGTGTTAAAAAGGGGAGAGAACATTCTCTCTATCCACTTTAGAATGTGGATAGAAGTATATGTTATACTTTTTAAATATCTAGCACATTCCCTCTTAAGTTACCGTCTGCCCTCCTAAACAAAAAATATCTGGACATTTTCTCTTTCCCTCAAATGGCAGATGTTCTGTACTGTTGGATATTTCACCTGAGCAGCACCCTCCAAATTCACTTTTTATTTTTTATTTTAAACTAAGTTCAGCGGCGGTAGGACGTGGGTGGCGCTGTGGGTTAAACCACAGATCCTAGGACTTGCTGATCAGAAGGTTGGTGGTTCGAATCCCCGCTACAGTGTGAGCTCCCGTTGCTCAGTCCCTACTCCTGACAACCTAGCAGTTCGAAAGCACGTCAAAGTGCAAGTAGATAAATAGGTACCGCTCTGGCGGGAAGGTAAATGGCATTTCCGTGCGCTGCTCTGTTCGCCAGAAGCAGCTTAGTCAATGCTGGCCACATGACCCGGAAGCTGTACACTGGCTCCCTCGGCCAGTAAAGCGAGATGAACACCACAATCCCAGAGTCGGTCACGACTGGACCTAATGGTCAGGGGTCCCTTTACCTTTACCTTAAGTTCAGCAGGAAACTTAGAGGCATGTGACAAACTTTCACCAACATCACAATTAATATTCCTACAGATGCCTGGGCTGCATAGGACCCTCTAAATCCCTTCCATGTGTAAAATGTACAGGTTGCAAAGTCCAGATGTTCTCTAATATTGTGTCAGACATAAGGACATCAAGGTGGGGAGAGAAAATCCCCTCCCCATCTGCTTGCTCAGTTCCCCTTTATAGATTGCTCACCACCCTGAAACTCTGAGAGATTCTAAGCAGGTCAATAAAATGTAGCTGCTTTTCACACCTTGTGTTGTCAAGGTGGGGTTTTTTTTTAACAAAAGGAAAGCACAGTTCATATACAAAATATGTACAGCTTGATTCAGCTGTTTGTTCAGTCTAGTAGTCCTGAGCCTTAATAGAGTGTACGGGGTTTAGCAGATGTAATTATAGGCATGTTTCAGAGGCAGGTACATCATCCCAGAAAGCAAGTGCCAAGACAGACTCTGCGTGCTCAGCAAAGTAGCTTTAAGATTAGAGGATGTTAAGTGTCAGCAAAGATAAATCAAAAGGTTACAATCTCTGGCAAAAGACAAACACCAGACCTAAGTAACAGCTCATTCGGAGGATACCGCAGCCACTGAACAACAGCATCTCTCTCTCTCTCTCCCTCTCTCTCTCCAGGGCATTATAATATGTCCGATACCAACAAACTTCTTGTCCAGAGGGAGAAGGAGAATATCAGAGTTACATCCTAATAACTTTGCAGGCAAGAGGTGACTGTATTATGAGCCAAGGTCTAATGGCAAGCCATAAAGAAGTCAAAAGGAAAAGTTGGGGAAAGTTAGCCGCAAGCATCCCATTCACTTTGTCACTGCTGAGCTGGCTTTTTCATCGGCCGTGGGTGGGCTCCCTTGCACAACTCTAGGATGGAAAGTTGAAGGGGAAATATATAGGCCAGTTCCTACTATCCCATTATAGCATGTAGCATCTGAAACTCGGCAGACACCGGGTTTCAGGTTCATCAGGCCCACACTCAAAACATCCAAAGGGCTATCACATCCATTGGACTCAATATGAGTTGTGCATTTGTGGTTTGACACAGCTCCTATTCCCCTCTCTCTTTCCACAATCAGTGCAAGACTTTGACAATAGTAAATTCTTGGCAAACCAGCCCTTGGCTCAATGAATAAAGTCATTCAAAATCATTTTTTTATTATTATTAACACCAACAGAAACCGACTCGCTAATCCAAATTACGGATCAACGGAGAGCAGGATTTTTGATGCTATTAAATGTGCCCTCCCCCTATCCATACATCCATGTTCATCTCAAACACTGCCCTTCAACACATACCCTAGCCCACCCAAAAGCAACAGCAGAAACTTACCACTCTTGCCTACTCCACCTGATCCCAACATCACCACCTTGTACTCCCTGGAGTCTCCTGGAGAACTGTTGGAGGAATTGGGAATTTCACGTTCAGTCTCCATCTTCTTCTGGGGAGGGGGGCGCACACAGAAGTGGCAGATGCTCTCTTTCAAACAACTATGCAAGCAATTGGGGAGGGGAAGAGAGTGAGAGAGACAGAGAGGTACAGTTTAGCAGTCTCTCTCTCGCTGGCTGCGGTGCCTGCATTAGCTGCAGAAGGTCTCATAGCAACCAGTTTAAGAGCTTCCAATAAAAATCCAGCTCGTCACCCCCCCCCTTTCTCACATACTTCCCTCCCTTCTGTGTATCGCTTTTCTTTCACTGTCCTCTTCCCGGACATGCAAAGCTGCCTATTGCTCACCAACCAAGCACCTTTATGAGGTTTATAGGACTTGTCTTGGTTATCCGTTCTGCTGTAAGAACAAGCTTCCTTCAGCAATGTTGAGATCGGATTTGTTTTCACAACCGAAGGGTTGCTCCAAGCCTGAAGCAAGGTGACAGCTCAGCAAAGAACCCCCTAGATACTCAGGGACCCTGGATTTAACACTCTTACATATCAGAAGGCGAGGCTGCATAAACAGAAGGGTAGTTCTTATTTATACCAGGGAATGTAAATAAGCAGGGAGCAGAATTCAGAGCAGTGCAAGGAACTAATCCACATAATACCAGTGTATTCTCATAGAAGCATAGAATTATAGAATTGGAAGGTCATCTAGTCCAAACCCCAGTTAAAAAAAAGTAAAGGAGCACTGGACGGTTAAGTCCAGTCAAAGGCAACTATGGGGTGTGACACTCATTTCACTTTTGAGGCTGAGGGAACCATTTGTCCACAGAAGAAGAGAAGAAGAAGAAGAGTTTGGATTTGATATCCTGCCTTTCACTCCCTTTAAGGAGTCTCAAAGCAGCTAACATTCTCCTTTCCCTTCCTCCCCCACAACAAACACTCTGTGAGGTGAGTGGGGCTGAGAGACTTCAGAGAAGTGTGACTAGCCCAAGGTCACCCAGCAGCTGCATGTGGAGGAGCGGAGATGCAAACCCGGTTCCCCAGATTACGAGACTACCACTCTTAACCACTACACCGCACTGGCTCTCTGACAGCTTTCCGGGTCATGTGGCCAGCATGACTAAACCGCTACTGGCGCACAGAGGACCGTGACGAGTGCCAGAGCTCACAGAAACTTTGTTTACCTTCCCACCGCAGCGGTATCTATTTATCTACTTGCACTGGTATGCTTTTGAACTGCTAGGTTGGCAGAAGCTGGAACAGAGCAACGGAAACTCACCCCGTCATGGGGATTCAAACCGCCAACCTTCCGATCAGCAAGCCCTAGAAACTCAGTGGTTTAGACCACAGCGCCACCCGTGTCCAACTCTCAGTACTGCAGGAATCACACGGTTGTGTGAATCAGTACCTCAGATTTCTATAATATGAGAATCCTAGCAAAACGGGTCTCCAAGGAATTGAACTCACCAATGCTAACCCTACAGAAGGTGCAAGATTCTGGTATCTTTGTCATGAAACTTTTGTCGAGTGATCTGGAGTAAAAGGTTAACTCCATGCAGGGCCAGGCACAGAAGGAGTTCTACAAGATGAGCTTGTGGTGCCATGTCTCTCTGGCCCAAGGATGTCTCCTTGCCATCCTCTGACTTCAGATGACTCCACTGCGGATGCTTCAGTAAAGCCAAATCTGTCCAGCTCCACTGGTAAGGAGAGGGGAGATGTATTCACGAGTTCATATTTATGGGTGAACCTGCCAAGTATGCTCTTCCTGAGACAATACGCAAGTGGAAACACAGCCATCCTTTTAAATTAGAATTTTAAACCAATCCAGGTTGGTAGTCATCACTGTCTCCACATTTTAACTATGCACTGAGAGTTCCATAATCGGGGACTACAAGGAGGACTCTGCATGTACAGTAAAAACAGGGATTGAGTAAGTGTTTCCAAGGACCATGGTTGAATGCGAGATGGAGGGGTGAGCGGTGTTAGGATTCCTGCTCCGTGTTTGCAGTCATGGGATTGCTGTCTATCACATGACAGTGTATGTTTTCATTCCACATTGTGGGAAGTGATGGAGACAGGATGTTTTGTACTACTGTATTCCGTGAAGTAGGACTATTGTCCTTTGTCCTTTCTCTCTTTGCTGCCTGATGAGAAAGAGGAAGGAGCTGAGTCAGAATGCTCCGAGTGTATTATATGTAAATAAAAGTAGATTAGCCAACATGCTGAGCTACTGAGGTCTGTTACGCAAACTGTGGATCCCTAAGCGTGCTGATGCTTCTTGGTACCAGTCACTGTGATGTTCGGGCTGAAGAAAGCTCTTGAAGCTCCTGAATGATCGACCAGGAGGGAGAGAACATGCCAGTCGGGCATGTGTCTCTACCAGGGTCCTACACGAGAGTAGGACGCTCCTAACAGTGGCAGAAGATGGTTGGGGAGAGAATGATACAGCTAAGATTATGTATTTTTTAATGGTGTGTGTCATAATGGAAAGCTCTTGCAGACTCTCTGGAATTTGTCCTGCAAGTGCTATTTTTTCTAGAAAAAGAGGTGCTGGAACTCACCATGAACACCTCCCTTATTCTCTTATAATGAAAATGGCACCCACCTGAGTTTCACCAAGTTCCAGCTGAGAAAAAGCCCTGCAGGCCTTAATGCATTCATTAATGAATAATGTCTAACCAATTGGGAGCTTGGTGTGAGCCTCCATATTGAACCCCCAAAGGGAATTTACTTCCATGGGGATTGTTCATGCTCTGCATTATTAACGTAAATAATAAAATCATACCAAACAGAAAAAAGAAATTGCACTTACAGTGGTACGCTGGGTTACATATGCTTCAGGTTACATACGCTTCAGGTTACATACGCTTCAGGTTACACACTCCGCTAACCCAGAAATAGTGCTTCAGGTTAAGAACTTTGCTTCAGGATAAGAAGAGAAATCTTGCTACGGCGGCACGGCGGCAGCAGGAGGCCCCATTAGCTACAGTAGTGCTTCAGGTTAAGAACAGTTTCAGGTTAAGTACGGACCTCCAGAACCAATTAAGTACTTAACCCGAGATACCACTGTACTTTATTGACCTCTAGACGTTCTCAGTTTACGTTTCAGTTTTCCTGGGAGGGCTGATTCCTATATCCCTTCTCCAGTTAGATACCTCCCAAATTGGGCTACAGCAATGCCTTCTTTTGATGGTATGATGCAGGATAAATTCTGCCAGGTCCTATGGAGCAGGAGATGGAACTAAATGCAAAGCTGCCATTTTTGGTGCAGCTACACATATAATACCGCATTGACTTTGGCCCTCAGAGGAGTCATCTTGCAAACAAGAAGCATGTGGGATTAAAATAATGGGATCTTGATACAGCAAGCAGTCACTGTATACAGCACCATGAGACTGCATTGGAGATCGTTTTGTCTTTAGGAGATCTGCACACTTCCTCATCAATTAGCCTGCATAAGTATCCCTGCCACTTGTCTGGTGAACTTGGAAGTCTACAAAACTTCAGTCCCAAGCATTATGCAAATCGTAAGTGATTTTTGTGCCAGCAAGCGATGGCCTTAAAGACATGTGGATCATTTTAAAATACATGAATATGGATGAGGGCATACAAATGAAAGATCCTGTTAAGTGGCAAACACTGGGCGTTTCCCCACTCCTTAGCAATCATATTTGGTTAGAAATGCAGAAAGCAATTAAAAAAAGACTATATCTGGGGAAAAGCTTGCAAATTCCTTCGTTTCAAGGGAAGAGAGGGAAAGTGCAATAGAGTGTGTGGTGCTGTGGCTAGAACTTTGACTGGGGAGCCCCAGGTTGGAATCTCCTCTGGCGAAGATGCTTTCTAGGTAAGCTTGGTCCAGTCACTGTCTCTCGACCTAAACATCCTCACAAGGTTGTTGCAAGACAGGGGTGGGGAAATTCAGACCCAGATTCCAAATGTAGACCTCTAGATCCCTCTGTCTTGCATACTTTTCAGGTTATACTTCCTCTCTGCCTTGCACCCTTGAAATATACTCAGAGTCGAGTGTGAATTTCATGTTCTTTATTCGACTCATAGTAGCAATGAATTAAGCTTTCCCCAAAACGTCTAGCTATATATACATTATTTGCACAATGGGCCCCGCGTGATTGGCTAATTCCGGGCTGTTCCTGTAGGCCAATCAGGTTGTGGATTCACTTCTTCCAGAAGTCTGATTGGCTACTCCTGTAGGCCAATCAGAATGCAGATTCACTTCCTCCAGAAGCCTGATTGGCTGCTCCTGCAGGTCACTGCTGCATTCTGGATCCTATTGTTCTAGGATTCAGCTCAGTACATAACAACCCTCCTTGAGTGTTTTGGCCTGGCTGGAATGTCTTCCTGAACTCAAGATAATGCCTGCCACTTGCATGGATGGAGGATAGAGAAGGTTATTTGTGTGTCTGTGTATCATACCCTCCAACATTTATCCCATGAAAACTGAGACATCCTATTTCATTATAATAATAATTTTATTATTTATACACCACCCATCTAACTGGCTTGCCCCAGCCACTCTGGGTGGATTCCAACATATATAAAAACATAAAAACCATTAAAAAATTTACCTCTACAGGGCTGCTTTCAGATGTCGTCTAAAGGATGTGTTGTTACTTATCTCCTTGGCTGGGGGAGGTCTCATAACTCCATACACACTGCAACATTTATCTGATGAAAACAGGGACATCCTAAGGAAAAGTGGGACATTTTGGAATCAATTCAGAAACTGGGACAGCTTCTCTATATCCAGGACTGTCCCTGGGAAACAGGCATAGCTGTCAACATTTCCCTTTTTTAAAAGGGAAATTCCCTTATTCTGAATAGGATTCCTCACAAGAAAAGGGAAAAGTTGACAGCTATGAACAGGGGAACTTGGAGGGTCTGGTGTAGGTGTGTATAATATGTGCATTTTTCTCTCTGCCAACTTTTGCCTCTGGTTCGACCCATCACAGGCATGGGGCTCTTGGCCAGGTGCCCAGAAGGGACCTTGAACGTAAGAATTGATTTGCTGGATCAGTCCAAAAGGCCCATCGAATCCAGCATCCAGTTCTCACAGTAGGCAACCATATGCTAATGGAAAGCCTGCAAGCAGGAGCTGCCTGTAACAGTCCTCTCCTTGTATGTGATTCTCAATAACTGGTATACACAGATGTGCCTTGCAAGCCCTCGGCCTTCCCCCTAATTGGTTTGAT